GCAGCAGCTGCGGCTGGAGAGCAGGGGACACACCGCCTCGCCTCTGCCATAAATAACACGGCCAGGCCCCCGGTGTCTCCACGGCCTTGCTGCAGCTCCGGTGTGCCGCCTTCGTTGATGCCATGGTACCCCCCGCCACTGCCCCTCGGCTCTGCCATTGCTCAGCAGCTGCTCAGCCACGGAAAAGGGGGCAGAGAAAACAGAAATGAAAATATAACCAAGGAAGTGGTTGCCAGGATTAGGGCACTGGGAGACAGTGGCTACTTGGCGTGAAGTTGTTTTTATGCTTGTGAGGTGTTTGCATCCTCATAAACAAGCTATTGAGAAGTGAGGCTGTTCCTTAGCCAACTCCCGGAGCTGGGAGCTCAAATTCATCCCAACCGCAGGGAGGGGACAGCAGCACCTGGGTTTTTCCACGCTGACCCGCAGTGTGCAAAAAGCATCGTGTTAAAAAGGACTCCGAGCCCTTCAGTGACTCACACAGGTCACAGGCAGCATCTGTGTCTAGATCCAAAACTCCCCATGAGCCAGGACAAGCTTTTTGGCACCTCCAGCCCTTCTGGGTCCCTTTCTGGGACCATTTTTGATATGAGCTGGGCAGGGCAGCATGGGGACCCACATGCTTCTGCTCCACTGGCTCCCACCCAGTGCTGGTGCCAGGAGGGCCATCCTGCCCCCCTGCCTGCCCTGCCTGCATCCCATACTGCCCGTGGAGAGGCTGGGTGCAGCTCATGGGGCCCCAAGCAATGACTGTGAAACTGCTCTCCTTCATCCCTGCACTGAAGGGGTGCTGGAGCACACAGGAGCAGTTGTGGGTGGATAAGCTGGGCAGCCAAGCAACAGAAGAAGCCCAAACTGGTCTTTGGGGGAGAGGCCAACGAACATACAGCAATGTCCCCTGGCTGAGTGGGTGATCAGGGTAAAGCCACCCCAGGAGAATTGTTCCCAGGCTGATCCATGCTGTATGGGCTTAGGGAAACCCCTGTGGCCATGGGAGAGACCCGCATGTGGCTGGGCAGTGAGGGCATTACCTGGCTGTGGCCTTGGGAACACAGATGTCCTTCCTCCCTTACAGGTGGCAGCAGGGATTCAGTCCATGACCAGGTGCTTTCTGAAGCAGCGAAAGGCCTGGCCAGGCAGCCTTTGGGCTGTCATCACACTGACACAGGAGTTCTCCAGCTCTGTCCTTGGGCAGGTGCTCTTACTGCCATGTCCAACGAAGCCATCAGCCCTCGAGACACATCACCACTGCTTTGCTCTCATCGGCATATTGTGGATGATCACGCCAGGGCAGGAACCATGCTCCGAGGGAGCTGCTGAGGGAGTCCCAGCAGGGCAGTGCTCCCTCCTTGGTCAGCACCCTGACCCACCAGGCCCAGCTCCACCCCGCCAGCTCACACCGTGGGTGTTACCTCAGGCATATTTCCCATTGCAGTCTGGTTTTTCAGAGGCTGTGTAACCTGGCTCCAGCGAGTTCCTTGCAGGATGGCCTCACCATCCTCCTTCCTGACACCTCCTTCCCCCCAGCGCAAGTTGTTTCCTTCCTGCTGTGCTGTTGGCCCCACACACCTCTCATCCAGCCCTGGACTGAGGCTGCGGCTGCACTCACCTCACCTGGGTGGCTCAGGGACCAGGAGCAGTGTGACAGTGCTGTCACCACTCCAGGGCTCCCCAGGCAGGTGTGGAAGTAGGCTGGCTGCCCTGGCCTGGCTCTCCTTACATAAGGAAAGCAAATAGGCACTGGCTGGTTGAGCACAAGTGTTTGTGTCCCAGCGTGAGGTATTGTGCTCAGGCAAAGCCAGGTTAAAGTGTTCCAGCGGGGTGGGCTGTCCCCTGGCAGTCTTGGCATCAGCTCCCTTGTGGGTGTGCCCCCAGCCTGACAACACGAAACCCAGCAAGCAATGTCAGGGAGTGGGGCCGTGTCTGGGATCACACATGGGACTGCACAGCCGCCGAGGGAGGCAGGACTGGCTTCACCTGCAACAGAGCCAGCTTTGTGCAACCTCATTGCAAAAGTGTTTTCACAGGATGCTTCTCACAGAGCAGGGATGAGCCACCTCCACAGCACTGCCCAGCCCTCCTCATACCCACTGCCACAGCAGGAGTGCTCTGCCAGCCCTTTTCTGGCAGTATTTAAGAAAAAAATCAACCCTGTGTGGCTGGTGAGGCTAGATCCCCCATGACACTCCTTGTGTGAATGACCACAGGCTCAGTCCAGAGGCTGGATAAACACCTGACAGTCCTGGGCTCCAGCTCAAAATAGGCATCGTGGTGAAAGCTTCAGGAAGAGAGAGGCAGATGGGAGGCAGGAACTTGTGGCTGCCCAGCAACCATCCAGGCAGAAGGCACCAGGAGGTACCTAGGAGGTGGTTATTGCCCCCCTACATCTCATCCCGAGCTTCTGCTGGCTCCAGGAAAGCTTTTTGCTGTTGACAGGGACTTTTCCTGCTACTCCAAACATTAACGTGCAGGCTGTTGGAATGAAAGCTAAAGCCATCAGGGGGCTCTGTGGGAACGCACCAGACAAGCTTTGAGTTAGACAGGGCTTGCTCAGAAAGCAAGCAAGGCCTCCAGCCATGCAAAGCACGACAGTTCAGGCTCTGCCAAATAACAACAGCAGGCGGGGGTTCCTCTCCCAGCAGCAGGTTTGCACAGGAAAGTTACATTTCCTCTATTTAATCTTTTCCATTATTACTGTTCTTTGGATTTCTTTCCCGTCTTGAAAGGGCTTGGTGACCACACGCCGCTATCGGCCATTCATGGTGGAAATGAAAACACAGGGAAAAAAACCAGGAGCTTAAGAATGTGCTCACAGGTGCATCCTAATCACAAAACTTCCTCCCACACTGCTGGGCTCGGAAGTGGACTTTGCCTGCAACCTCAGTGCTTGTGTGTGCTGTGCAAGGCAGGGCAATTTGAGCTGCGGGAAAGGAGGAAGGAACCTGTGAAATGAAAGGTCTTCATTCTGCTGAGCTTGCCATCAGCATGGGCAACTCCAGAAAAACCACATAGATGTCATTCCTTTCTCTTCCTTCTTCCCTTCCCATTTAACGTGCTTAAATCACCCGTGGGAGGGAAGGAGGGCTGTGCATCCCTTCTCAGGGTAATCCCATCCATGTACTTGGCCACAGCTGTGTCCAGAGAGGGCTCCCAGGCAGGTAGAAATGGTGTCAGCTACATGCCTGCACCACGAGGCACAGGCTAAAAATAAGCAGATAGGATTTGATCCAAGCAGAATAAATTAAGAGTCAGTTCTTTATTTCCAAGAGGGTTATTTATGGGCCCTGTGCAGACCTCCTTCATGGAGGAGGCTTCAGCCACTCTTGGCCTCTCTGAGGCTATAGCAGCCCAAGTCTCGTGTATTTAGTGGTTTTAGTGGTTAAAGTTTCCTGTACACCTCTGTGGTCCTTCTCTCTCCACTCTGCTGCCTTGCCTTGCTTTTCCTATCCCAAGATTCCCATTTCTCTCCCAGGGCTGGTGACTCTGGGCCTTTTACCAGTCTGTCCCAAGTCCCTGTTACCAGCTGAGCCAGCTGATGGTGATGACAACTCAAGAAGAAAGCCAGAGGCTGGTGTGAGGGCACCGAATTCCGAGGTATCCATCTTTCTGCCCTGACAGCGGTGCCTGCTCTCTCAGGACCAGCATGGAGAAGTGCTCTGCTCAGAGCCCTCTGCCATCCCTCACTCTGCTAACCAAGCAGTAGTGGTATTTAGCACTTTCTTTCTCCCCTTAATGAGGAATACTGGTGGCTGCTTTTCTTGCTGGTGTCTCTGCTGGTGAAGGATAAGAGTTTGCTGGAGAGCACCATTACCCAGTTAGCAAACAGGCTGTTTCATAAGGGCTGTGGGCTGCATGACCTCCCATCCCTGCCCATCAAGAACATACCCCAGGCCTTTCCTGAGGGGTGGTGTCTCCAAACCCATGAGTAGGACAGGCACTTAGTCCCTGCCTCTGCTCTACTCTGTCCTGGAAAGCCATGGATTAACAGAATGCAGAGGTCTGCCCAGAGTCCATGGGCGTCTGGGCCGGGATGCAGGGAGAGAGAGAGAGGTGTCTACAGCATCCCGCAGCTCTGGGAGGAAGAACAAATGTCTTCAGGACAGTCCAGCCTGAGATGGGGCCATCAACACTCATCATGGGGCAGTGCCAGCGACAACACTCATTGCCCAAAGCATCCCACAGCGTGGGCACACCACCCCACCAAGTACCATCTGCCTGCAGCAAGGAGGAAAGGAGACATGAGAAAGGTAAGAAGAGTTCAGAAAATTCTGGTGGTTTCTGCTGATTAGTCGTTTCCACTGATCGAACCAACATCTTCTCCCTGTCTGAGTTTGTACAATTTCTGCTTCTGCTGTGTCATCACAACCACCCACCCACGGAGCTGGAGCTCCACACGAGCACCACCTCCTCCCCCTGGCACCCCACATACCTGGGGACCAGGGCACCCCCTGCCCACACCCCACTCTTGGGTGCAGTTGCTCTCCTGAGCAAGGTGAGGGCACAAGAAGATGAACAGAGGCACATCCCCTCGAGATTCACCTTCTCCTTTGGGATTGGGCACCTCTGGAGTCCCACCAGCACCTGCTCCTCCAGGCAAATTTCTCTGAGAGTAGGTGCTGCCTGCACAGGAGATCTTGCAGGAGCTGAGTTCTCTTGCTACAGAGAGAAATGAAGGGTGGGAGGGAGGTGAGAGCCCCTTGAAGCTGCCAAGCCAGTCCATGTGCAATCTCTCCCTCCCTGGCTCCACAGACACGCCTGGGAGTGCCTTTGCCACGACAGGGCTTGTGTCTCTGCCACCAGCAGGTGTATCAGCTGCCCCTCGAGGGGATCATTAGGTGCCTGTTTCACTACTAAAGGCAAAAACCCATCCCAGGAGTCTCACAGCACAGAAAGGACACCTGAAGCAAAGACCTTGCAGGTCACCAGCTCTATGCCCTGCTGGGAAGGAGGGCAGGGGTGGGCAGCCCTGAGCTTTGTGCAATGGACTGGGCAAGCCCCTGGCCAAGAGCTTTTTCAGGGGAGCAGCCTAATGCCTGGGTCCCCCTTCATTGTGGGAAAAATAATCTCTGGAGGCTTCAGAGGGCTGGGTGTGGGCAGCTGCCTGGCAGTAATGAAGGTCCCTGGTGGGGCTGCCAGATGCCAAGGCTGAGAAGACAGAGATGTGAAGCTAAACAAACCCAGAAGAGATGAAAAGAGGCTGAGGTGGAAGGAGAGGTGTAGAAGTCCCTGGAGCCCCAACAGCAGCAGAAAGGCTGCAGGGCCTGCTTATGGCATTGCCCACGTCCTCCGCTTCCTGCCACTTCACATCTTAGCAAGGAGGGTATTTTACTGGGCAGGAGTTTGTTGTGGAAAAAAACCAGCAGCTCATTCCATGGAATATAAGATGATGGGCAGGAATTGCAGGTGCTGGTGGTACTGAGGTGTGGCAGCTCAGCCTGGGTGCCAGAGACCCCATACAGCTCAGTATCCCCTGTACTTGTCAGGTTATCCCAGCTCTGGCAACACGGGGCTTCCTGCCAAGGTGGCAGCACCTGACCAAGGTGTGCTCTGCCCATCAACTGCTTCTGCTGAAAGCAGAGCTCCCCTGTGGATCAGCAGCCATTGCTTCACCTTCTTCCCTCCAGCCACAGGATGACTGCAGCATCAGAGGGACGTCTCCATTATTAATGTGTTTCCATTATTAATGAGGTTCCAGCTCCAGCTCTTCCACTCACCCTGACTCACCAGCCTACACCCCAGCTCCAAGTCTCCTCCCCAGGCCCTGACGGTGAGAGTCACCAGCCTTGACATCTTCCAGTCAGAGACCTCTCTGCCAAGCCTGGGTCCTGCTCTTGGCCGAGGGGGATCATGGGGCCATCCTGCAAGGATGCAGGGAAGGAAACCTGGTTTGTGACATGTCCGGCCAGGCCTCCCACCACAACTCCTCAGGGACATGGTGTTGTTCAGGAGAAAAAGAGGAAAGACCTGCCAGACAGAGCAGTTGTTACAGGCAGGAAAGGAAGGACTGAAGAAAGGGGTTTGTTTTCACAGCAAAGGGATGTTACCTGTGGGGAACCATTG